GCACAATACCATTTTGGACCCAAAACAAAACCTGTATTGCTGAAAAGAAAAACACTTTGAAAATTCATTTTGCAGCACCTTTGGGACAGTACAGACGTGAGTGTTTTTTTTATTGATACATTCCATTCTACATTTAACCCACTTCATGGTCAGCTGATTCCCAAATTTTAAACATACTACATTTCACTTGACGGGGACTCGAGTATTCTCAAAAATATAGCAAGTCATCTACTGGGTAAAAATTTTAAAATTATTTGCCCAACTCCAAACATACTCTGCTTAGGAGATAGTAGGAACTGCAGATGCTGGAGAATCTGAGATAACAGGTGTAGTGCTGAATGAACACAGCAGGCCAAGCAGCATCAGAGGAGCAGGAAGGCTGACGTTTCCGGCCTAGACCCTTTGGGCCTGCTGTGTTCATCCAGCTCTACACCTTGTTATCTCATACTCTGCTTAGGCTCCTGTTTCAATGATTATGGGTCTCTTTAGAGTTACGGGGATACGGTAGGGGGCTGAGTCTGGTTGGGATGCTCTTCAGAGGTTTGGTGCAGATTCGATGGGCTGAATGGCTTCCTTCAGCACTGTAAGATTCTGTGATTCTTAATCAGAAACTTCAGCGATCAGGATAGATTGAAGATGTTGGGACTGTTCTCCCTGGAAGGAAAGCAGCTGAAAGGAGGTTTGATAGAGGTTTTCAAAATCATGAGCTGGACAGAGCAAACAGGGAGAAGCTGTGCCTGCTCATAAAACAAAAAAAAAAGAGACGATTTAAAGAGATGTGCAAACAAAGATTAAAATTAGATTTAAAATGATGTGCAAACAAAGCAACAGTGATAGGAGGAGAAAAACTTTTTCCACTTAGTAGCAATGCACTGCCTGGAAATGTGGCGGAGGCAGGTTCAACTGAAGCATTCAAGAGGGTAACGGATGATTATTTGGTTAGAAATGATGTGCAGGGATATGAAGGAAAAGGCAGGAGATTGGTACTAGATAATAGAACCAGCACAGGCACAATGGACTGATTGGCCTCCTGCTGTGTCACATCAATTCTGTGTTTATGACAGTGCACAAGATGAACCACTCAAACAAAATGTGTCATTTTTCAGCAATAGTCACTTGTCTGTTTAATATCTCTGTTTGACAATCATTTAAATTTTCAATTTCATGTAAGACTTCAGTACTGTGTTGAGTTTGGAACACCATAATTGTTACATTTTCAGTAACCAATGAAACCGATGATTTGCATATAAACAGACGATTAACCTGTACACGACTCTCACTTTTTCTCCATTCTACGTGTGATCAGAAGCTTGTGTTCAAATGCTGAATGAAATGAAATAAAATAATAATAAAAACCAAGATTTACAACAGGACTGCCCTGATAGACCTGTTTCAGCCTGTTCCTGCCCCTATGAACTTATTTTTCCCGTCGTGACTCTTGTTTTTCTCACGATCCAATTTCTTCCCACCTATATCACAACCCTTTTGACATGTGACCTCATTTCAACAATGTCTAGTTTATTAGCCCAGACTCCTCCCTACTATGAATGTCCAATCTCTCTACATCTCTGGGCTCCCCACTTCATTCCTGAACAGAGGCTGAATGGGTTTTCACCACCATCTCCATACACCTGGCTGAACCCATTCTCATATTGAACTATTTCTTCTTTAACTTGTTCCACTTCCTCCAAATGGTCTTACCATGGGTATCCATATACATCCTAGTTACGCCTGTCTTTTTGTAGGATATGTGAAACATTCTTTGTTCCAGGTCTATTTGTGCCTCCCCAGCTATTTTTCCAGTACATTCTTAGCTGGACCAGTGCTGTCTCCTGGTCTTACCTTGAACTGGAAAACTTCTCTAACTTTGCTTCCAATTTCCACTCTGCATTAACTTTCACAATGTACATCTCCAACAGATCCCATCTTCAATTTCTCTGAGCCCACTATCTCCCACAGCCTTTCTCAGCCTGCCTCCCACAAGGATTCTATTCCATTTTTCCAGTTTCACCAGCTGTCTCCTGTTTTGACAATGCAACCTTCCACAACGGTGTTTCTGAAGCGTCTTTCTTTGCCCTGAACCGAGGTAATCTCTTCTCTACCCCATCCAACTCTTCTCCTGGATTGATAGGGTCCGCAGCAATGTCAGTAACATTTCCTGTATTTCAGAACCTTCCCATGTAATCAAAGAAGATGTAAACACTTGCCTTTTTCTCACTGTCCATGACCCTAAAGCTCCTTGCAGGTGAGACAGCTATTTATTGATGGTTCTTTCGACTGAGCCTACTGTATTCCCTACTCACAATGTGATCTATGTTGGTGAAACGAAATAGATTGGATGAGTTCCTTGCAAAACACTGCCACTCAGTACACAAGAATGAACCCAAACATCTGGTTGATAGCAAGTTTAATATACCGCTTTGTTCCCCTGCTTATGTTTTTGTTGCAATGTTCCAGTGAAACTCAATGCAAGCTCAAGGAACAGGACCTCATCTTCCAATTTCAATCTTACAGGTTCAAAGACTTCAACAATCTCAGACCATTAACCCTGTGCTCCAATTTGATTCTGACTTCTGGTCATGTGCTAGTTTGAGTCTTATTTTTCATGTTTATGCTTTTGGACAAAGCTGCTCATTGCACTGACAATTAACACTCACTTGGGAAAAATACTTTGTACATTCACTTTAACCATTGCAATGGACTGTGCTTTTTGTTCCACAACATCATGAGCATTTTAGTCTCTACCCTATCCCAGGGCTTCCATTTTGTATATAATATCCAAACTACTTCTACATTCCTTCAGTTCTGAACATTATATTTGACATTAAACATTCATTCTGTTTCTCTATCCAGAGGTGTTACTTGATCTAATTATCTCTAGTACTGTCCGTTTCTACTTCAGATTTCAAGCATCGACAAAGTTTTCCTTTTATTGAAAACAAAACTATATACTTTTCAGGATTAAAAACAAAACTGCAACACTGGAAATCCACCAAACTTGAGACAGGCCAATATTTTAATGCAGAAGATCTAAAGTTAGAACTTTTCGTTTAACAGGTGCTAATATAAATATCTAGGATTACTAATTTTTAAAAATTTAGTCTTGGGATATGGGCTTCGCTAGTAAGGTCTGCTTTTATAGTCCATCCACAAATATCCTAGAAAAGCTGGTGTTGGGACTGCAACCTGAACTTCTGACTCTATGCACATAGCATTATGACTTATAACCTGTCATGATGATCCAAGTGTGCTACGTAAATGTAAATTCTTCCCTTCTTTCTTCTTCAGTTTAGCACCCAATTTGTCTAGTTCCATTTAAAAGTTACAAATGTTTTTTAACTGGGAAACTAAGTTCTCAAAACTGAAAAATAGCAGATTTTGCAGAAAGCAGCAAAGGAACAGCACTTGCCATTCGCTGCAGTCTCAACTGCCCACAGAAGGCTTTTAGCACTGATGTATTGTCACCCACTATGTTATCCAGCACAGCACCTTCTTCGAGGAAATCTGTGACATTCGAGTGGTTCAAGAAACAGTGAAAGGGAAGGTTAAAGAATTCTCACAACACAGTTTCTAGACCAGGAAGCATAAAACAGAAATTAGATTTAAACAATGGACAGTAAGCAAAATGAAAATGAGGAATGCAAGATGGATAACAGAGAAAGACAAAGGTGCAGGCACAGAAAATTTAAATGTGCGTTTTTAAAATTCACCAATACCATACCAATTTTCCCCAGGAGTGACACTCTGCTCTCAGAAACTTAAATTTTCAGGGCCACTGAGATTGTTAGGTTAGTATACCTGCTAAACATTTCATTATACCTAAAGCACCAGCCCTAAATTTTCTGCTTTAACGTGACAGGAGAGATTAACTACTGCAACTTCACATCCTTACAATCATCTTCAGATTGAGCCTGTCAGCAAAGTACAGGCAGTCTGTGAATTGCAAAAAGGTTCCGTTCGCAAGTCAATTTATTTGTAAGTCAGAACATAATGCAGGATAATACAAAGAGCTGCCTGTAAGTAGGGAAATAAGATCTTTAAAATTGTACCTCTGAGATTGTGTTCGAAAGTCAAACATTCATAGGTCAAGGACCCACTGTAATACTACAGTGCAATCTTGTGATGTAGCAGGATAAATCAGACTATACCTTCTGAATTTCCAGGTTTAACTGCAACCATATGATCTGAAGGCTGCTGTCATTTTAACTACTATAGTTAATTCGCTAATGTTAGTCTCACCATTATTCTCATTGCACAATCCAGGCAATAACCATATTTTTAAAATTCAATTTATTTATGCAGTTCAGAATCCATAAGACCATTTTCAATGACATTACAACTTCAAAATCTCAATATTTAAATAATACTGTAAAATCTAAATTCAGTGATTTAACTTTTATATAAAAATATATACTGGCCAGTAAATTAACTTATTTGAAATGTATACAAGTTTTAAAATATTGGCTTACGAATAGTTCGATCAAATCATTTTAATTTTCGAATTTTTGTTAAAATCTTTTACTTCTTTTAAATATACAACATTAAGCATCAACAATAAAACTTGCCAGTGTCAATTACAGTGACAAACATAGTAAGGTCAAATTCTCCAGAGATTATATTTTAATGGCAAGTTCACGCCACAACTTTCAGCTCATGAAATTGCAACTGTATTAGGCACATCATGTCATGTACCACAATGAATGTGAACATACAGCTATCCAATCTTAATCTATTTACAATCTGACTTTTATTATCAAACTATTTTTAATTGCCAGTTTGCAAGTTGGAGGATGAGATTCGGTCATCATACAAAAAGTAGGGGCAGCAAGTGCAATACTAGTGGAAGGAGGTCCTACAATTTAACAGCTTAACCTACTTGATCTGTAACTTCACCATTTCTCCAGAGAAGACAAATAAAGTTTGATCAAAATAGCTAACAAGGGGACCAGTCTTGGGTGTGAAATTAGTCTACCCCAACAGCACGAGAAGCACATCGTAAATTGGCTGTAAATTTTATTCTAATTGTCCTTCAACTGAAGTTCACAGAACAATTGTTCACCCCTTTTGGAAGCTTGTTTCCTGGTTTTTCTGTTACTTTCACTTAATTTGAAGTGAAAAAAACTTGGCAACATTTTCAAAGTCAATGGAAAATAGAAACAGACACAATGGCAACACTGTATCCAATTTACTGCAAGACAGTTTTGCATTGCTGGAAGAGAAACTTTACCCCAACCGTACTATATTTGATTTACTGGTATCAGCTATGACATAGTAAAATGAAAATGTCTGCTTATATTTCATAACGAGTCCATATGGGACAATAATGGAAAATACTAATTCACAACACAACCTTTACGTCCTTCTCATTGATGAATTGCTCAGTACAAGAAGTATAACACCGATATTTTACAATCGAACTTTTGTGCACTAATTGTTATAAATTTAAGTGATCTTAAAATTGACTATTCTGGACTCTCATACAACTTACGTACTTCCAGTGAAATTACCGTTTTGCATGGTTATCATCCCTGATATAAATAGCGAGCTTGGATATGCAATTTGAACAACTGCGGAGAATAGTACTGAAAAAGCAACCAGTTCCACATCACCACCAAAAAAACATCATGTTGCACCCTTTAGGATATTGTGTTTTAAAAAATGTTATTTCTTGCATTATGGTCTTCTGTAATGTTTTCCACTTGACACTAAAAGCAAATGCAAAGAATTTTTGTTAAATGCCAAACTTCAGCTTTGGCGAAGAAGGAAGAAATTCTTGCAAATTGGAAAGCTGCTTTTCACTATTAGAATTATAGAAAAATTACAAATATACCAACGTAGTACTTCTGTAAAACTCATTTAAGAATATTATAAAAATTAAAAGTAAAAATCCAAAATTTTCATAAAGATTGGTCCAAAAAAAGTCATCTTAATACAACATATGAAGAATGAAGATTTGTATATACATTACTTTTAGATAGAGGTAAAGTTCAGCATTGCGTCACAACGGATAGTACCCAGTGACTGAACTAAATTAAGTGTGGAAAGTTCGTCAACAACCTTCCTTTTTTTTTAAATATGTACCAACAGCCTGAAACAATGCCTGTACATGTGAACTAACTGAACAATTTCCCCAAAAATTCAAATGAAGGTCCAGTCCAAAACATTTCTAACTAGACAAAAAACAATTCCCCCCAGTATTAAACAAAGGAAGGCAGCGTCATATTAGCCTTAGTCTCTAATAAAAGCTTTCTTCTGGCTAGCCTTTATAATATCATCTGGAGAAGGCGTACTGAAGTCAAATGGTTTTATTTCAAATAAAGGGACCTGATCTTCTCCCTTTGTTTCCGGAACTTGTCTGCTGTATAAAAATGTTGTGTGAATATTAAGTAAAGATTTTTTCTTTTTCCTTACAGGATTCTGAAAACACATTGCAAGAGCAAAACAAGATGGTTCAGCACAACAATGTTTTGTCCAAGATGTGGTCCTCGTTCGCTTTGAAAGCTTGTGATTATGAATACTTGTATTCCTATTAAATGCTTTGTAATTCACTGGTTTTGTATTTTGAAGAACAGATTTTTGAATATACATGTTTAGAAGATCAGTGTCCAATGCTGAGGTATTTTGTTGTGTCAGCACATTCAAATCAGTAGATAGCTGCCCTATGGTTTTTCCTGAAGAATGCTGATTTTCACTTGTAACAAAATGAGCATCCTTTGCTTTTGAATTTTCAGGCATTTGTTGAGTATTTTCTGTGATCAAATCAAACAGTGACATATTTCCCATTTCAGAAATATGCATTGGCTTGCATGTTATTAACGATGACAACGATCCTGTGAATGTATCTGCTGTTGTTTTAGTCTGGCATTCGCTGGCTAACTGTGCCAAAGATAAAGACCCTAAAGGCAATATTGCACTATGCGTTGACCTTACTGACGGAAACCTAGAAGGAACAAAGGAGGAATTTGAGCTGCTGGGACTATTTTTTTTATGTTCCTCAATAAGATCAGCCAGAGACGGACTTCCATACTGATGAAAGGACAAATTATTTTCTCTTGTTATGTCTACTGGACTGCTTTGGGCATTTGTAACCAGTGTAGTATTGAGTCTATTACTTTTCTGCTGGTGTTGGTTCAGTTGATCAACAAGACTCAAAGCCCCAAGTGATGATGTTAAGCACTCAGGATTTTGTGCTGGCACACTGAAAGAATTAGATGGAGTGTGATTAGTGTTCAATGTTGTAAAAGGCAGTTTTGACAGGGACGTAGGGGAGGGTTGTGAAATTCCTTCAGTATTATTTTGTGTTAATAAAGACAACCTTGATATGTTTGATGCAGGCCTGACAGACTGTTCAAAATTCATTACTGTCGGCAATTCTGATTTTTCACAGAGAGGTAGCATAGTTGGATTCAAATCTTGGCAGTCACTATGCTCACTGGCTTTAATCAGATCAGCAAGATTTATGCCTTCAACTGAACTTATTGTAGCCTGGTCAATCAACGGGCAATTTAATGTCTTCGCATCTGTCTGTGCCACGTTTGGGGTTTCTTTGATCATTTCCAACAACGAAATGCACTGTGCTGAGGTTTCCTCTCCCTCATTTGCACTTTCATTATTAACAGATTCACAGGCTGCCATGGGAGCAGACACAGAACTGAACTCAGATTTGGTCGACAGTAGAATACTCAAATCAAAAGCTGAAGAATTATCAGTGTCATCTAACAACATTACTGGTAAACATGAATCTGTGGGTTTAGAATCTACTAATTTGGATGAATAAAATATATCTCCTTACCTTACGATAGCCAGAAATGGTCAGATGATGAACAAGAAAACAAATAGGATTTCAGAAATCCAATGGCAATCCCCAATTTTGTCAGATTGGAAGAAGACGGGGCCACAAAAGAATGAAAGGAAAAAAAGGCATTTGTTATTAAAACAACTTTTCAAAAATATAAAATTATCAAAACTAATTAAATTAAATATATAGAAGTAAATTCCTCTGGACGCTATAATTGGAAATAAGAATACAATATGCAGCAAATAATCAGTAGGCCAGGCAGCATCTACAGAGAGAAAATCAAAGGAAAGGTTTCAGGTCAAAAGACTGACAAAAAAGAAAATCATGGACCTAAGTCATGGATCCTTTCTCTCTCTGCCAATGCTACCTGCCTAGCATATTATTTAGGGTTGAGAAACAGATCAGCCATGATCAAATGGCAGAGTACACTCGATGGGTAGAATTTCCCAGTTCTATTCCTATATCTTATCATAGAATCACAGAATCCTTACAGTATGGAAAGAGGCCATTTGGCCCCTCGAATCTGCACAGACTCTCGTAAAAGCATCCCAGCCCGCAACCACCCTATCCCCATAACCCCGCATTTACCATGGCCAACCCACTTGTGCATTCCTGGACACTACGGACAATCTACCGTGGCCAATCACCTAACCTGCCCAACTTTGGACTGCGGGTGGAAACCAGATCATGTGGTGGAAACACACGCAGGCACCAGGAAGATGTGCAAACGCCACACAGACAGTCACCCAAGGCTGGAATCAAACGCGGATCTCTGGCACAGAAAGGCAATGTTAATCACTGAGCCACCATGATGCCCATGATCTTACTATTTCAAGCATACATTTTATTACTTTAAACTTAGAATATTCCAGTTCTTATATGTCAGAATACAAGAAATTAAGACCATAAAAACCACAAGGCATAGGAGCTGAAATTAGGTCATTCGGCCCACCGAGCCTGCTCCACCGTTCAATCATGACTGATAAGTTCCTCAACCCCATTCTCCTGCTTTCTCCCCGTAACCCTTGATAATCAAGAAGCTGTCTATCTCAGTCTTAAATGTATTCAATGACCTGGCCTCCGCAGCCTTCTGTGGCAGTGAATTCCATAGATTCACCACTCTCTGGCTGAAGTAGTTTCTCCTTATCTCCGTTCTAAAAGGTCTTCCCTTTACTCTAAGGCTGCGCCCTCGGGTCCTAGGCTCTCCTACCATTGGAAGTATCTTCCCAACATCCACTCTGTCCAGGCCACTCAGTATTCTGTAAGTTTCAATTAGATACCCCTCATCCTTCTAAACTTCAATGAGTATAGTCTCAGAGTCCTCAAACGTTCCTCATATGTTAAGCTTTCCATTCCTGGGACCATTCTCGTGAACCTCCTCTGAACCCGCTCCAGGGCCAGCAAATCCTTCCTGAGATATGGGGCAAAAAACTGCACGCAATACCCCAAATGTGGCCTGACCAGAGTCTTATAAAGCCTCAGTAGTACATCACTGCTTTTATATTCAAGTCCTCTCAAAATAAATGCCAACACTGCATTTGCCTTCCTGACTACTGACGCAACCTGCAAGTTTACCTTGAGAGAATCCTGGACGAGAACTCCCAAGTCTCTTTGCACTTCAGACTTCTGAATTTTCTCCCCATTTAGAAGATAGTCCATGCTTTTATTCTTCTTACCAAAGTGCATGACCTCACACGTTCCCACACTGTACTCCATCTGCCAACTTCTTTGCCTACTCTCCTAACCTGTCCAAGTCCTTCTGCAGCCTCGCCACCTCCTCAATACTACCTGTCCTTCCACCTATCTTTGTATCGTCTGCAAACTTAGCCAGAATGCCCACAGTTCCTTCATCTAAATCATTAATGAACAAAGTGAAAAGTTGTGGTCCCAGCACTGACCCTTGCGGACCACCACTTGTCACTGGCTGCCATCCTGAGAAAGACCGCTTTCTCCCTACTCTCTGCTTTCTGCCAGACAGCCAAATCTTCTATCCGTGCTACCACCTTGCCTCTAACACCATGGGCCCTTATCTTACTCAGCAGCCTCCTGCATGGCATCTTATTAAATTAGAATCACTTCACGGAACTTACAACGGAAGCATTGATTACATCCTGGTTATAAATCATTTAATCATGTTGGGATATGTAAATTTACATTTCTTTACTGGACAGAAAGATTGACAGAATGATGGCATTCACTGAAGCCTAAAACCATCATTGTCTCAAACCAAAATATTAAGAAATCCACAAATAAAATTTCTGGATATTCGGTAGGTTCGTCTGATAATAATAACCTACTTAAATGAACCAGGAAGAAAGTAGTCAGACTGTTGGAGGCTGCCTTAGATGTAGCCACAAGAAAACAACTGACATGCAGCCAGCTAAAAATGCATAAATTATTGCCCCACAATACAAATAAATTTCTTGCTTTTTGTCCACTTAGAAGCACTTTATCAGTTTGCTTGAAAGGTTTTCTGACCAAGTCCCAGACTCTATGATGGATCTGCCTTTTAAGGTTGCATTATTAAGCACATAGCAAATCCTACTTTGCCTGATCTGTACCCTAAATTCCTACCTGGACTCCAGGACCACTAATGTCATATATCGGTTGGGATTACTACTTTTGTAGTATAGTGTTCTGTAATTCTACCAGCCATTACATGTTTCTGTTTAGGTATTTCCTGTCTTCTCTCCTGAATCACCTGACTCTTACTCTTGTTTTAAGATAATATCCATTTGTTCCAGACAGGTTCACTAGTGGAAAAAGTTCCCCTCAAACAAACTATCACCTCCTTTCAAAATCCTAAATTCCAAAACACCGCTATATTCTAAGTTTCTCCTCAAGTTAAATCTTGCAGCTCTAAAGCATTCTGAGTCTACCTCACTATCGAGGGAATCACAGGATTGTAAACATAACCTTTGTCACTCTACTACATTTGTTAAATCGTCAAACGCCTTCCCTTACACCCAGGTCTGGATGAGTTGTAATTTGTTACAATTAAATAGTGTGAACACTGAAGACAATGTCCTCATTCTCTGCACCAAATTCCATGCCTTAGCTACCAAAATGCCATTAGAAGCAGGATGAGATCAAACCAACCTTGGTGTCTCAGTGTTCCTATCTTTTCAATGTTTAAAAAAAAAAATTTGAATTTATTCTTTTTCCCAGTCAAATAATGGATTATCTTACACTGGCCTACGTCAAAATTCATCTGCCAGTTTTGCCCATTCAATCTATCAATGTAGCTGGAATTTTATGTTCCCATCTCTACTATTTACTGTACTCTGACCTCTAAAACATTCACTATTTGCTCATGTCAATTGATAAGCATAGGTATAAGCCTTACAAATAGAGCGCAAAAATCAGAAAATTTCTGAGCAGCATGGCATGCAGAGAGGCTTGGGTTGGTAAATTTCAAGAAACATTCGTACTACACAATTGCCAGGCAATGATCACCTTCAACAAGACATCCAACAATTTCCCCCATTAGCTTTAGCTCAAGGCTGTATAATTTCAATAATTACTATACAGGGAAAATTGTGGTGGATCCATTTGCAATAAACACTGCGTCAACTGTTAAATTTAACCTTGAGACTGACATCAAAGGTGCAATACAAAGGGGAGTATCTGTCTGGTTAAAATTTTCCAACTTTGTGTAAAAGTGTACGGAAAAACGTTTAGCTATGATCTCACCAAATATAAAGAAGGTGTGTTTACAATGATGGTTTTTTTGTGTGTAGAAGTGTCTGTCAGTTATTTCGTATAAAAATTTTGGTAACTTATGCCTTTTGTCTTGTATCAACTTAAATAGTGTGCAGGAAATTAATGCTTTCCTTATGTGATGTGGCTTTAAGTTTAGAAAAGACTGATAATTAGTGAAGATACTGATGAAACTGTCTGAATTCTGCTTCAGTGCAAGTCCAAATATACCATAAGTCAGTACAGGCACAGGAGGTATTTTTGCAGCATAATTGTGTCATCGAATAAATGAATTAGAGACTTTGAAAAAGGAATCTTGGAAATCACAAAAGGAACCCCAGAAAATCAAAAAGTAGCCCTCGAGCAAATCTCAAGAACAATCTTTGGGGAAAAAAAATATTTTGTGTTCTAAGGGCAGCAGATGCATTGGAACACTACCAGCTGCAGCACACACAAAAAAAAATTAGCTGGAGAAACACAACAGGTCTAGCAACATCTGCCGACAGAAAATAGAGTTAATGTCTCAGGTTCAGTGATCCTTCTTCGGAACAATTTTGAAAAATATCTGGAATCTACTGCTCACTGTTGATTGCCAGAAAAACCCATCTGCCTCACTAATGTCCTTCAGGGAAGAAAATCTGTCTTTCTTCATCTGGTCTGGCCTACTTGTGACTCCACAGCCACAGCAATGCAAGTGACTCTCAACTGACTTCTGAAATGGCCAGCAAGCCACTCGGTCGTAACAACTGCTATGAAACTTCTCAACAAAGAAAGAGAGCTGGACGGACCACGCGATATTGACCTAGGCACCAAAAACGACAATGGCAAAAACTACTCTGTCAACCCTGCAAAGTCCTCCTTACTAACGTCTGGGGGATTAGTGCCAAAATTGGGAGAGCTGTCTCCCATACGACATGAAGCGACAGCCTGACTCATGGATTTATACACTACAGACAACTTCCCAGACACCAACATCACTATTCCTGGATATGTCCTGTCCCACCAGCAGCGCAGACCCAGCAGAGGTGGCAGCACAGTGGTAAACAATTGGGAGGGAGCTGCCCCAGCACTCCTCAACATTGACTCCGGTCCTCATTAAGGAAACCTGGGTGAGGAAAGTGCCTGATGATTACTCATGCATTGTCCTCCCTCGGCTGTTGAATCAGTATTCCTCCATGTTGAGCAACATGTGCAGGAACCACTAAAGGTGGCAAGGGTGCAAAATGTGCTCTTAGTTAGGGATTTCAATGTTCATCGCTGATTGAGCTGGCCAGGTCCTAACCGAAATCACTGCTAGACTGGTTCTGCAGCAGGTGATGACGGCACCAACAAGAGGGAAGAACATATTTAACCTCACCCTTACCTATCTGCTGGCTGCAGATGCGCCTGCCCATGACTGTACAATTAAGAACGACCACTATACAGTCTTTGGGGAGACGAAGTCCTGCTTCCACACTGAGAATACCCTCCATCATGTTATGTGGCACTATCATGCTAAATGGGACAGACTTTGAACAGATTTAGCAACTCAGGACTGGGTGTTCATGAGGCACTGTGGGCCACCAACAACTGCAGAATCCTACTCCAAAACCATCTGCAACCTCATGGCCCAGCATATTCCCTACTCAACCATTACCATCAAGCCAAGGGATCAACCCTGTTTCAATGGAGAGTGCAGCAGGGCATACCAGGAGCAGCACCAGGCATACCCAAAAATGAGGTGTCAACCTGGTGAAGCTACCAAACAGGACTAAGTGCATGCCAAACAGCATAAGCAACAAGTAATAGACAGAGCTAAGCAATCCCACAAACAGATGATCAGAACTGGGCTCTGTCGTCCTGCCACATCCAGTCATGAATGGTGGTGGACAATTAAACAACTCACTGGGGGAGGCGGCTCCTCAAATATTCTCATCGTCAATGATGGAACAGCTCCACACATCAGTGCAAAAGATAACGTTGAAGTATGCGCAGCAATCTTCAGCCAGACATGCCAAGTGGATGATTCATCTTGGCTGCCTCAAGTGGTCCAAAGCATCACAGATGATAAAGTGCCAGTAGTATAACTGCAGTGTGGGATTACTCAAAATAAAATTCACAAACTGTTGTGCTGCAGAAAAGTAGGTATTAATTAAACACAAAGGTCAGCAAGATATACCTATCTATTCATCTGGCAGACTAAAACTCACACCTGGGTTTCATAATTTCTGCACTAACATGCAGTGCCACAGTTTTATATGCATGGTGAAATCCAACATTAAAAAAAATGCCAACCTGCTGAATTAGCCATGTTTCATCTTTGACCACAGAATCTTCAATAAGTTTTAAAGTTACATGATGGCTCAGATCATCGGATCAGAAATCTCATTTCTGACCCCAGTCAGACAAAAATATACATACTGACCTTCCTGTCATTTTTAGAACACAGAACAGTACAGCACAGGAATAGGCCCTTTGGCCCATGATGTTGTGCCGAACATGATACCAAATAAAACTAATCCTTTCTGCCTGTCCATGGTCCATATACCTCCATTCCTTGCATATTCACATGCTTGTCTAAAAATCCCTTAAATGCCCTTATCTGTGGCTCCACCACCACCCCTGGCTGTGCATTCCAGGCACCTAACACTCTGCGTAAAAACCTTGCCCCTCACACCTCCTTTGAACTTACTCCTCTCACCGTAAATGCATGACCCCTAGTATTAGACATTTCAACTCTGTGGAACAGATTTTCACTATCAACCCTACCAATGCATCTCATAATTTAATAGACTTCTATCAAATCTTCCTTCAACCTGCGTCACTCCAGAGAAAACAACCGGAGTATTTTTTGAGCCTCTCCTTATAGCTCATACCCTCTAATCCAGATAGTATTCTGGTAAACGTCTTCTGCACCCTCTCCAAAGCTGCAATGAGGTGACCAGAATTGAATGCAATACTGTGAGCGTGGACAAATCAAAGCCTTGTAAAGCTGCAACATGACATCCTGAGTCTTGTACTCAATGCCCCGATCAATAAAGACAAGCATGCCATACTCCACCTTTACCATCCTATCTACTTGCGTGGCCACTGTCAGGGAACTATGGACTTGAACCCCTTTTTCTGAACGACATTCTGATGTGGGATCCTTCAGAACAGACTCTGCACGGGAATCCTCAGACAGAGCAGCACAAAATCCACATAGAAACTACACCCTCTTTTTATAGCACTAGCTGCAGTTTTCTGGTAAGAAAAGAGTTTAAACATGCCAAATGTTCTGCGAAAAGCCACAGTCAAGTCGGGGGGCTACACTAACAGTAAGCAGTTGGGTCATTGGGTCTGCTTGGGGCATTTAAGGGTTTCAGTTATATAGTTACCCAAGAGAAGATGAGGATTTTTGCTGTCTAACACTTCCTGGGTAACTATCTTGTTAAGTAGGCCAGAACTGTCCAACATCACAGGCTCCAACTGAGAGTCATTCACACAGGATCCCAGGAAGTAGGGGAATTGTCCATTATAAGCTTAACCTCCCAGGTAATTCCTAGGGAATCCATGCATTGGGACTTTGAAACAGTACTAGAGCACAACTTCACGTGTTTGTCTGGTCTCTCACCATCTGGATGAATACTTTGCTGTTTCCTTTACTAAATGAGGCAATTAAAACACATACAACCTAAAATAACCTAAAAGATTCACATACCTACTATGGATTTCCGTGTAGGGACTGTATTCTGAACCTTTCTTTTTGTTTTTTGATGGCAGTCCTCAGATAGCACAAGGTCCAGGGCTTTATGTGCATCATACTGACTATTCAGCACAGCATCGACCATGACTTGATCTGATACAGATTCCCTCAAGACTTCTCGCATTTTATCTAGACAGGAATGAAGACGAGCTGAAACATAAAAAGTCTATTCAGTTAGGTTCCTAGTAAACATACGGCAAGAAAATCAATCACTAATATGGAAAAAAATCTATTTGAATGGATGAATATTTATTCAATTCTTTTTCTAACTTTTTTTTCACCCAAATCCTTAAAAAGCCAATTCTTCAGATGGCTTACTTATGCAACACACTGGCACAATGATGCACAGCACTTGGAAATCATTCTTCCCACTTACAAAGTTAAAATCCTCATAAAGCCATTTGGGAAAAATTCCATTATCAAAATATTCCAAGTGGAAGTTGGGCACTTCATGTAAACAGGGAGACTTTCTCAGCCATATTCATTATCATTCACATCTCAGCTGGATAACAGTGCTATTGCAGCTTTATTTAATGTTCCTCAACTAGGGACAGAATTCTAGCTTCCTGACAGGTAGGGTAACATCAGGGAAATCTCCAATGACCTAAGAACTATGATGCTGTTAATTTAGAAGGTTATTTTTATTTAATTCACTTTTTTTGGTTCCCCTCTTTGGCAAAAAATTTCCCGTACCTGACAAGTTGAAGATTTGCTCAAGTCGCAGCCAATTATCATTGTGAACCCATGCGTAAGAACATGCAAAAAAGCAGGTTGAGGAAAAAAATTGTATTTTTATAGCAACTTCAGCACTATAAAACTTGTCAGGATGCACGATAAAGAAATATGACATCAAATCACTCAACAAGGTATCAGGGGAGATGATCAAAAGCTGGTTAAAGACTTGGGCCCTTTTTTAGTGAGGTGGTAGAGTCCCTACTACTGGACTAGGGGGGCATGGGTTCAAGTCCCACCTGTTCCAGAGCCTGTAATAACAGTTATGAACAGGTTGATTAGAAATATAGTTTAAATTTTTAGAAAGTAACTTAAAAATAAGGAAAGGACGCTGGAGTGACTTGGGGAAGGAATTTCAGACCTTAAGATCTAGCACAACCACCAAATTAAAGTAATCAAAATCAGTCACGCTCAACAGGCCAGAATTAGAAAAGGAGTGCAGAATTCTGGGAGGGTCAGATTAGATTAAAGAGATTTAGAAGAGTGACATCACAAATGCATTTGGAAACAAGGATGAACATTTTAAAATCAAGGCATTGCTTAACTTGAAAGCAACGTAGCTCAACTGGTACAGAAGTGAAAGGTGGCTGGGATTTAGTGTGAATCCAGTAAAAGGCAGGATTTTGGACGACTTTATCTTTATGGAAGTTAAAATATAGAGACTAACCAAAAATTTATTACAAGAATCAACTCTACGAACAAAGAAATGGATAAGGTTTCTGGCAGACTCCAGAAGTATTATGAAATATCTGCAGAAACAGATACAGTCACAAGCTGATCTCAGGGTCAAATATAACATAAAGCTTACAAACAGTCAGGTACAGCTTCAAAATGTTGCCAGAGAAAGGTATGAATTCAATGACCAGGGAGCAGAGACGGTGCTGGGTCCAAACACAATGCTTTCAGGCTTCACATTATTAACTGCAGCAAATTTATGCTCATCTACTACCAGAAGGTGAATAAGTAGTCTGACAATACAGAGACAGCTGAGGAGGAGAAAGAAGTGTTGTGACGTTGTCATCACTGACATACAACCAGAAGGTGATATGTAAATGGGCCTTGTAGCTCTCACTAGTGAGATTCTCGTCTCGCTGTTCAACACTTGGTTGGAGAATTGGATTGACCTGTCTTGATACCAAGAATCCCATTTTTGCCGATCTCATCCAATTTTCCCAACTGACTAATGACATCCTTACTGGTGGCACGGTGGCGGAGTGGTTAGCACTGCTGCCTCACAGCGCGGGGGATCTCTGTTCAATTTCAGCTTCAGGCAACTGTGTAGAATTTGCACATTCTCCCTGTGTCAGCATGGGTTTCCTCCAGGCACTCTGGTTTCCTCTCACAGTCCAAAGATGAGGTGGATTGACCATGCTAAATTGCCCATAATGTGCAGGCTAGATGGATTAGCCACAGTAAATTTAGGGTTACAGGGATAGAGTAGGGGGTTGAGTCTGGGTAAGATGTTCTTCAGAGAGTTGATATGGACAGATTCAAGGCTTGTTTTCTGAGAAGCAGCAATGACAACAGATTTAAATGAGATACCAGAGGAGAGAAAAACATCAACAATCTGGGAAAGTTGGACGGTCAGTAGTTTGGCAAGTCAGGTAGAAAAAACTTGAAGTGGGTCTCTTAGACAAGATGAACTTGGAGAGGGAACAGGATAGAAATCAGACAAAGACAGAATTTTACAACAGGTTTAGCCTGGTAGTTAGGGGGAAGGGAGATAAATGGCAGAAGCAATAGATCAAATGGTCTGAGACTTAGTGTCAAAGAAGTCCATGAGATATTTGCTTTGATGTTGGAGATGAAATTGGAGGAGATGGGAGAGAGGTGTTTAAAGGTCCTGTTGACAACTAACCTCTGCTCACTCAAATCACAAACACATCACATGGGTCAGAAAGCATGCAAGAGAAAAGCCTCTAGCTTCAAACTTACAAAATTCATTAGGAGGTAAGAGACAGAAAGTAGGGACAACAGTTAAGAACCCTAATTGGCATAATGTTATTATCAGTATCCCCAAGGATTTAATTATACAGGGAGGTCAGAATTTCATTGAATTTATAAATAAGGAACAGAGTTGCATACACAAATTTGCTGACGCCAAGTTAGGTGGCACAGTAAATAGCACAAATGAAAGCAGCAAGTTTCTACTGAGCTCAATAGCTTAAATTAATCAAAATCTATGGCAAATGAAATTCAATTTTGTCAAGTATGCGATCATCCATTTTGGAAAAAAGAGAAAGTCACAGTATTTCTAAATGGCAAGCCAAGAACCAACAAGGAGCAGAGAGGAGAGACCGAGTGTAAAAATCACAAGAACTTATTCAAAGAGCATAGAAAGGTTCACGAATGTTGGATTTTATTCCATTGTGAATGGAAGTTATATTAGTTAAATAATACTCTAGTCAGACTTTAAAAAGAACACTGTACCCAATTCAAAGCACCAAACATCAAAAAGGACATAATAAAAACAAAACAGGATGTTTCAAAACTTCTGAAATAAAAACAGAAGGTGCTGGAAAATCTCTGCAGGTCTGACAGTATTTGAGGACGGAGAAACAGAGTTAACATTTCAGGTTCAATGTCTCTTGTTCAGAACAGATTTACCCTGAGGAAGATTATATTTGGTACAGAATGGCATAGCCAAAATTACTCTTTTATAATTCAACCATTTTAGCACCAGTATGAGGACATATTGCTCAGTTTGGGTTTATGCTCCTTTGATCATTGAAAATTAAAGGATGATCCAGTTGAGGTGTTTAAGATGTTGACCGGATAGACAGGAACTACTTCCTGTCATAGAAGAATCCAGAACAAGGGAACATATTCTTAAAATTAGAGCCCGGTGTTCAGGTGCAATGTCAGGAAGCACTTCCTTACATTGAGCTGTAGGAATCTGGAAGTCTCCATCAAAATCCTGTTGAGGCTAGGTCATAGGATCAAAAAAATTCAGAATTCAGATAAATAGATTTTTTTGCTCGACAAGGCCATTAGGGTTATAGATCCAAGGTAGGTTGGTGCAATGAAAATATGAGTCGTCCATTGTCTAAATAAATGGTGGTATCACCATGTTATGCTATGATAAGTAGGTCGTAGAGTCCATTGAGTTTGCTCCACCATCTAATGAGATCACAATTGATTTGAAACTCCTCAATTCCACTTCCCTGCCTTTTCCCCCATAATCCTTGATTCCGTTACTGATTAAAAATCTACCTCAGCCTTGAATAGACTTAATGACTCAGCCTGTACGATAAAGAATTCCACAGATTCACTACTCAGGAGAGAAGAAATTCCTTACCTGTTTCAAATGGGAGATCCCTTTTTCTGGGTTAATGCCCTCTGGTTCTGCACCACCCCACAAGGTAAAACAACCTCTCCTGCATCTATGCTGTATAGCCCTCTAAGAATCTTATATATTTCAATCAGGTCACCCCTCATTCATTTAAATTCCAATTAACAGAGTCCCAACCTACTCAGCTTCACCTCGTAAGACAGTATCTCCATGCCTGGGCTCATTTGACAGCAATAAAAATGATATAGCAACATACGACTTCAAAGCAGAAGTCATTTAGTCCTTCAAAACCTGCTCCACCATTCAATAAGATCTTGACTGATCTGGTTGGAGTTTCAACTAGCTTTTCCATCTGCCCCTCCCCATAACTCTCAACTTCTTTGTCAAACAAAAATCTATCTCAAATAAATTTGAAGAGCCAGCTTCCATTACCTTCTGGGGGAGAGAATTCTACATTCTAACAACCTTATGGAGAGAAAATAATTCTCATCTCTGTCTTAAAAGGTATATCTTTTATTCTTAAGTATATTCCCTCATTTTAGCTTCCTCCACGAAAGGAAACATCGTCTGCATAACCATGCTACCCAATGCATTCAAGATCTTTTATGTTTCAATAATATCACCTCATCATTTTAAAATTCAATGGTCACAGACCTAACCTATTTAATCTTTCTTCATAAAACGTGTGCTTTATCTCATGAATAAATTGAGTGTTCCTTCTTTGATTTTCTTTTAAAGCAATTACATTCTTTTTTAGATGAGGAAACCAAAACTGTACATATATTCCAAATGTGGTTTCAACAATACATTGTATCTTTGCAGTAAAGATACCTATTTTCACATTCTATTCCACGTGGAATAAACATCAATATTCTGTTTGCCTTCCTAATCACTTGCTGCACCAACCTATTAACATTGTGATTCATGTACCAAGACACCCAAATCCCTCAATCACCAAGTTTTGCAATGTCTCTCCATTTAAATAGTATGCTGCCTATCTATTCTTCCTTCTAAAGTAGCCAAGCTGACACTTACCCATCGTATCCCAAAGATCTTGAGGAAACAAAAGAAAAGGGTGGATGATATATTTCGGTTGAATTCTTTAAGTGAAGATTAGGTCAAAACA